TACTTACATTGAGGTGCATTTACTTTAATTGTGTTTTAGTCTATGGGCAGGTTAGAGACTCTGAAATCGTCTAATTGCATTTAAAAGCGTGAAACTGATGCATATGTAAATGCATGTACGTTTTGCATATACAGGCAAACAAAAACTATATTTTTCCAATTAATTTCTTCTGCATTTAAAGCAGTATTAACCACTTGTTGACCGTTGTGTTTATACCCCTTCCTGTCCAGGCCATTTTTCAGTATTCAGCGCTGCGGTACTTTGACTGACATTTATTCCGTCATGCAACGCTGTACTGAAATACATTTTATACCATTTTTTGGGGACAGATAGAGCTTTCTTTTGGTGGTATTTAATCACCACTGGGGTTTTTTTTTTTTACTGTACAATGAAAAACGTACCGGAAATTTTGAAAAAAAACCTGTTCTCCCTACATTATGTTATAAAACATTTATTACTACCCAATTTTTTGGTAAAGTATAAAAGACGGGGTCACGTCGGGTAAATAGACACCAAACATGTCAAGCTTTAAAATTGCGCTCACCCGTTAAATCGCAAAAAACTACCATACTCAAAATTGACCATAGCCGACGCTTTAAAAGCTTTTACCGCTCATAAGTTTAGTGCGAAATGCCAGTATAAAGTAGCATAGCAGGTTTCATCCACCATGCATATATAGCTAACCATGCTCCTAGCTAACCAACATCCATACCAATATACAGGCTCTCACCAACCAACCAGAATTCATCTAACTGTTTTACAAGACTTCATTGAAAACTTGGGTGTTGTTATTGCCCAGACAGGCAGGAAGAAAATAACATAAAAACCTGGACATAATAATTAGCAGCCCTGCACATCTTGATGCAGCGATTGCTCCATTGTTTGAATGCAGAGCGTTGCAGGGTGTGTATAATGTGTTATAAAGAGAACTTCACTGACTCAGCATGCCTGACTTGCATGAGTATGGATTGTTGAATACCACTGTAGAAGTCTTGTTTGTGGTTGATGTTTGTGTTTTATCAGTGAGCTGTAAAGTCTCAAAAGGGCAGCTACGCGGATGTGTCATTGGTAGAAGTCACATGAGTTGTGTGATGATGTTACATTTAGCTGACAGTGGTGCACCTGCACAGAAGACATGGATGTCGAATTACTTGCTCTGGCCAGAAAAACGACCGCAATCTACACACATGCAAATAATAACATTGAATAACTGTTCATTGTAGGCGCTAGTGACATTTAAAGGGAAACTGTAGAGATTTTGGGGCAGAGTATTTTAAGTTATTTAAAGCCGAACTCCAGCCAACATATTTTTTTTTTTAGTTTTTAGTAAAGTTGTTAGAGTTAGAACTTCTGTCAATCTTTTATTGCTGTCTATATCCCCATTGGGAAGATTCCTCTTCACTTTCTTGTCCTTTTGGGCCAGGTGCCACCCTTAGGTTCTAGGCAACTTGCTTGTTAGCAGCTACCAAATCCGCAGCTAAAGAGCTCTATGCATTGCCACACACTGGACAATATGGTATTCAATTGCATACCATCACAATCCTGATACATGTTTACCGTTGGTAAGCCCTGATGAAGGGGTTATTTGTATGAACCCATGAAACATGTTGGCTATTTTATACTGTCCCCTCAATCCTATATTGAAAGATGTATCTGGACTATTAAATGGAGTGTGGAGCTTCAGTTCTCAATCCTAAAATTTGACACCACAAACCAAGGAGACAGTCAAGATCCTCTGGAATGTAGAAGGTACCTGTCCGGTTGTCAGATCACCTATACTGACTCTTTCGCATCCCAATTGGCCAACCCCACCAAGAGGGCAAACCTTTCGGGTCCAGTGCCTTAATGCCACTTCTTTCCAGGCAACCTGCTTGTCACTCATTGTCATTGGAAGATAATGGTTTAATATGAACAGGGGTTCCACAAGGATTGTGTAGAGGTAGCCAGGGGGAAACCAGCCTATGGACTGTGGTGGCTGTTTGGGGGGTAGAGCTCGTCCTCTAGACTGTCCATGGGTGTATAGCAGTTGCAAGCTGGGGCTTTTGGGCTATTTGCAACCTGGCATTAATTATTAGGTAGTTCCCAGTCCTGATACATGAGGAAGTTGGCATTTTGCTCAGTAACATCCTGACCCAGCAAAATGTTTTGCTGATTTACTGATGTCGATAAAACCCTACACATGAAGTAATTAATCCCTGGTGATTTGTGCTACTTTTTGAGTCCAGGTTTAAACCCTGAAGAAGGGGGGAAGTCCTTGAACCCCTGAAATGCGTCGCCTGTTGTCGTTTATGAACTCATTCCATTATTAAATATTTTTTGATTCTCATTCAGTAATAAAAACCTGACAGAGGATAACCTTGCTAACCTTGCTCCCCCACCTCTACCCCCCTCCCCCTTTCCTTTTTATGACACTTTGTCATTCAGCATCACTAGATAAATATCACAAGTTTCATGGTTAAAGAGGGCTTTAGGAAAGATAGTCATGTTACAGAATAAAATTAAATATTAATATACAATGCTTAGCAGTCTTCTTAGAAATATCGGCGATCCTCCTGACAGTCAATGTTTAGTTAAAAAAAATCAATGTCTTAATAAATGATTGGTAGCAGTAAAAAACAATGCGGTATGGTGGATGGGTCCCTGAGCACAGGATGTGGGGGGAGAAATCCCACTAGGTTTCCTGTTGACAGGTTGCTCGATGCTCCCCTGCAGCTGCAGAGAAGCCGCAAACTGCTGTCTTCATTCTTATGCTTTCGAGTTTAATAACCAGTGTTAATTTTAGCAGACGCCTCTGTGCTTTACGAAGCCTGTACCAGAAAGGGCTCAGCTGCAGTCAGTTCCTAAATCCGAGGGACAGTCCCAGTTTTTAAAGATTGGTCCAATAAAATACCTCTTTTTTTTGTGCAGCATCTACGTACTTCACCTTTTCATCCAGGCATTGCCGTAGTTCCCCTATCCATCTCTTGTAAGCAGGTAATCTGAGAACCCCAGCTTGAAATGCAGAAGAAGGATTCCCTAACACTCCCACTGCAGGCTCCTTGGTGTCTCGGACATACAGAAAGCCTGTTCTTAGAAAATAATGTGAGCACTAAGATACTTCTTTTACAGCTGATGCATGAAAATATCCAGCAACAGTAGAACTTTCCAGTCCAATAAGCTTTAGGTTTTGACAAATTTACAGATGAATGAGCAGTACAGTAAGATGCTCAATGGGGAAATGGTTTTACATACAGAGTTCCAGTACATGCAGCAATGACAACATTACATAATTGAGTCTGATTGTGGGCAAACGTGGCTGCTGAGTGTAACCAACTGGAAGGCACATGTGATGGTTGGTGACAAAGGAGAGTATAGATGGGGGGGGGAGGGGGCAGAGCGGGTAGGTATAGAGAGAGAGGAAAGAGAACACAGGTATCTGGGGCCGGAGGAGGAGGGGTAGTACATTATGTCTGGAGGAGGACTCCTACAGAGCCAACTATCCAAACTTGAGGGTAAGAGTAGCTAGGGCAAGCACCGTTTCAAACTTTCAACATAGCTGATTTGGAAAAATTCTCCAATTCAGGTAATTTTCCAGTTCAGCTATGTTGTCCTAGATTGTTCACTTCTCCTAATTTCTTCAAATTCTTCACTCTTTTGTGAACAGCCCTGTATGTTTCTTATAAGTCCCTCCTGGTACCTTGAACATCCTCTAATACCCTCTTTACGTAGAATTAGGATGCTGGTAGCCATATACATGTAGAACAAATAACTTTAGGTCCATATACTCCCCTTACTGTAATTTGCCTTGGGTGAAACCAGGTCACCGGTCTCCTGCAGACTTAGGCCCCATTCACACTGAGCGACACTTACCTCGAGCGGATTTCCACGCGATCCATATAGCGTGACTTTTTGGGCGACGGACGCGCGACCTTCACTGTTGGGCTGCATGCAAAAAGAGCAAATTTGCGCAACATCCACGCAAAAAAGGGTCCTGCACAAGCGACGAACTACAGGCGATATTGCGTGGTAGATTTAAAAGCACCATTGAAAAGCATAGGACGAGCGAGATCTCACGATATCGCACGGCAATATGGGCGATTTTCAAAGCGGCAATCCGCTCAGTGTGAATGGGGCCTTAAACTGTACGTTGTAACTTTGTAGCAATTGGTAAAAGTTTGCAGCAGAAGGATGATCTATATCAGGAAACACAAGAAATGCACAGGCACTAGGATATACACAGTTGTATAAGCAGCGCTGAACCAGCATCTCAGTCCTGGAAGTAAATGGTGATGCTGAATGATGCCTAAACAAACATAGTGCCGTCCTTCTAGAGAGAAGAGCAGGTGAAATCAAATCCCAGGGGAAGTATTGTGATCTCTGAGTGGGGTAATAAATACCTGTAAGCGCAATAATTTTCAATATGATAGGTCATATGCGTGATGTGCAAGAGGCCGAAATTGCTAGCAATTTGGGAGGTGTGGTGACATTTTCATGGTGCCCCTGCAGTTGGTGCCCCCTGCAGCCTGATGCCCCCTGCAGTTTAATTATCACATGTGGGGTTTAGGAAAGGATAGCCACATCCCAACTAATTTATCTTCCACTAGGATAGTCATGTGACTACACAGCTCCTGCTATTATTTCTCTTTCCTCATAAAGTGAAGATGACTGGAGATAACCCAACATTCTCCTAGGTAGTAGCAGGTAATAACCTGACAATTGCTGGACAGGACATATCGGTAGCAATGCTGGGAGGGACCCATTCCCAATCCTTTATGTGTCACCATAGAACTACACTTTATCACTTGATTTCCTAGCAACTAGCAATCTGACACAGGCACCTGAACTATAAATACATTCATTTAACCAATTAACCAACATAAATATTTAAATCATTAAGCAGAGGTGCTTGCTTTGAGGCTTAGTTTCTCCCTGGAGGCCCTCTGATGCTTTTGTAAACACAAATATACAGACATAAGAGGCATGATGCCACCCAAGGGTGCTTAGCAACATTGCAAGGCACCGGCAAGCTTTATTTAATGCGATCTGGTACAGAAGACGGTTGTGCAAGCTCCTTCCTGATGTTAGTCATTCAGAGACAGCATGCAAGATTGTCTTCCGCCTGTTGTGGTCATTGCTTGCACTGTGCCTGTGCAGAGCACTGAGCTGTCATCAGTAACTGGCTCTGCAGTAGGAGATTCAGCCAGCCTGACGGGAGACCTGCCAGCATCCCTTCTCTAGGCAACCATCGTCCCCGCTGCATCGCTACCCAGACAGCAAGGTTAGACTGCAAAGCTTCATTATTCATCTAGAAATAGCTGTGCATTTGAATTTTGGCTTGCGATCCTCTAATCGATTCATCTTTGGAGTTATGGGCCTGTATCGCAAGCATAATCCTGCATATTGCATACCCAGCAGCAAACGCATCCTGCGAACATGTCATGAAACAGCACATAGACCTGACGAAAGGGTAGAGGAAACATTTAAAGGGACAGTCTAAAAACAACTCAATTTTTGGCTATGGCTGATGAGCTGAGTGCTTTAAGAATACCTGTCGTAATGCTTTTATTGGTAGACACTGCACTTGGCTCTTTCATTGGCAAATGTTTGAGTGTATTTGGCATGGTATTAAGTGAACCTGTATTCAGGGCTGTCCCAGCAATGTAATGGGTATACGGCAGGCACCGTAAGGCCTGCTATTGCTTTCTCAGTGCTGCCTCCATCTGCCAGCAAGAATTATATGCAAATATTGACTTTCTGAAAATTGGTATTTGCCTAGGGTTAACCCTTCGTCTTTTACATGACAGCACCCCGGGCATAGTGATAGGTTGCTTAGACAAGAAGAACTGCACGGATGGAGGAGGCAGAGCTCATACATGGCCCAAATGTGGAAATTTTTTATTTTTTCTTTAAGGGGGAGGGTTTCTACATGGATTAACTTCACTTGAGCTGACATTTCTTTCAACCTATTGCATAGTGTTGGCATGTGCTTTTTTCCACAGCAGAAGCCAAAATACTTCATGTAATCTTCTAAATGCATGCTGTGATGCGTTGTAGTGCAATGCAGCAGCTTCTCCTGTGTTTAAATGTATCACCGTCAATACCCCTTATTTGGCAGGTGCTGATGTGACTCTGCAGATGGTGACGCATATATCCAAAAAGTAAAGTAAGTCACAAAAACGAGAATCTTCATCCAATAACACCTTCATTGACATCCAAACATAGTGTCAAACAGATAGAGACTTCTCGGGACCATGCAGGGTGCCTTCACAAGGCATAGTATGTCCCTGCATGGACCCCAAACGTTGCTATCTGTTTGGCACTATGTTTGGATATCAATGAAGGCGTTATTGGATGAAGATCCTTGGTGTGCTGATGACATACTTTACCTTGTGTTTAAATGCATGTTACATTTTCACCCAGCGCACATCTACGCAGTGTGTTCCAATGAATTGCACCTGTTAAAAACAAATGAGGGGAATTTATCAAAACTGGAGCAGACAAAACCTGGAGCAGCTGTGCATGAAAACCAATCAGAATCTCTCTTTCATTTTCAAATCCTAAAGTTGCCGATACACCTAACGATTACCGTAAGATAATCGTAGGCGATCGCGTTTTCATCCGATAATCGCAAGGTGTATGGGCAGTCTACAACTGCAAATACTGTAACATCATACCACTTTTGACTTTCAAGCATGTTTGAAAACTTTGTCCAATCGTACGATTTTCGCAAGGTTAGTGGCGTTTCCGTACGTCAAAAGTCGTACGATCTACACTGCTCATGCGCAAACGAAAATACGTGCGGTCGATTACTGCAATTCGCCCAGGTGCTTTTCTTTAATTACGGCTAATTGAACCTTGCGATAACCGGGGCATGATGGGGCCGATCATCAGACGAAAAGTTTTGTCCGATAATCGTAAGGTGTATGGCCACCTTAACTGAACAAACTGAAGAGAGAAGCTGATTGGTTGCCCTGGGCAGCTGCTCCAGATTTTGTCTACTCCAATTTTGATCAATTAGCCTCAATGGATCTCAGCTTGTCATCGTGCTGGATCTGGGTTGAGCAGCCCAACGGATGTGGTGTCAATGGGCTCTAGAGCCTTGTTCACACCAAATGCAGAGCAGATCCGGTCAGGTTTCTGCACACGCACGCTAGTCTTTTAGACGCGTTTCGACGCGTTTTTGATGCGTTCCAGGCTCTTTTTGGTTAAAAAAAAAAACAATTAAAAAAAAAAGTTTAAAATGGGCATTTGCATGTGTTTTTTATGCATTCCAGAGCAGATCCAGAGCAGAGCAGATCCTACTGCAGTATTTTCACCTGCTCTGGATCTGCTTTGCAACTGCACGCTGCGATGTGAACTGGAGCAAAAAATACCATTGGAATACATTGGACGCAGTTTTGAGCCGGTCTGCAACTGATCTGCTCTGCACCTGCTCCGCGCTTGGTGTGAACAAGGCCTAAGAGGAGAGGACCAATGTAGCAGAAAGTTGCAGTGATAGCATGTTTCAATTAGAGAGAGTATGACAGGAAGCAGCGTTTGCTTTTAATTAACCAATAGTACTCTGGGACTCTTGGGTCTACAGTGCACACTGTACTAAATGTTTATTTGTAAAAGAAAGGTTTGAAATAAACTGTAATCACATTAAAAAAATTGATTTAACATTTTATAAATGTAAAAAAAGTGCAGAGTGCAGGCTAAGAATACTACACACAATAGGAAGGAAGTCGAGCTACACAATGGGCATTTATATAGATTGTAGCCGCCCCCAGAGGAGGTGAACACAACAATACAACTCTAGTAGGTTTCAGCCTTTGCACACACAACACGTGTGGAAGTGACAATTCTGGTTTTCATGACCTCGTGAGATGTAGAAGAGACAGAGAGAGAGAAGACTGTGAGATGCCGAAAAGTTTAAACAGGTAAAGTGAGCGACGCGTGCTTAGTATGCAACCAACGCTTATCTACAGACCAAACTTTTCTTTTTTTAAGTTTTGGCTGGACAGGAAAAGATCAGAACCTCTGTCAAGTTTCTATTGTTGGCTGTACCCATGCTTGGGAGATTCACCCGCTTTATTTTCTATCAGAAAACAATGGGAGATTAAAAACTGTGGCGGTATCACCAGATTAAGGGAGACACAGGCTGCATGGATGGCTAGGAGGGGGTTTCTTTTTTTTGGGTTTAGATTTCCTCTCACTTCCTGTTTTGTCTGCGGGACAGGGATTAAAAGTAAATAGGATACAGAAAAGAAAAAAACTGACAAAGCTTTTATTTGGTCCTTCTAACCAAAGCTTTCAGATTCACCTCCCTAAAACTCACTACACATGTTACAATCTGCTGGTACAATCTCCTATAGATCGGCCAACAACATTTAGTACAAGGGCCTGCCAGATTAGATACCAGTTGATTGGAACAATTAGGAGAACCCTCATATTACATGGAGATTGTAATATGTGTGGTGACCCTAAGACTGGGCACACACCTTACAACCATCGCAAGACTTCTGTCTTGCGATGGTTGTAAGGTACTTAAAAAAACGTACGATCTGCCTATGTTGCATAGGCAGATCGTACTTGCGAATATCGCAAGCCACGCCCCCTGAGGGGCGGGCTTCCGATGACCGCAATGCCAAACGGGCAGTGTGCGCTTGCGCACACCGGCCCGTACGACTGTTATCGTACGGACATGCCACAAACCCGCCGAACATCGTACGATGCTCGGCGGGTTTTCGAACATGTCCGTAAGTTTAAAGTCGTGCGACCTTACAGTAGTAGAGGTCGCACGGCTTCCACACACCTTACGATCATCGTACGATCGCGGGATTTCCCGCGATTATCGTACGATAATCGTAAGGTGTGTGGGGACCCTAACAGAAATCCTAGAGCTGCCATTGCTGTCCTCCTTTTGAAAATGCTATCTACCTGGCTGTTATGTTGAGCTTATGGCTTCCACATTTCTAAATCACTAAGCAAATAAGTCAGAGTCAAGTCAGATGTCCTTCTCTGCATACTTGTTAAGAGTCAAAATATTGCAGCTAGAGGGTGAGCATGACAGCCAGAAGTGAGATGTGAGATGTGAGCAATGACATCCTATATAGTCGTCTCAGTAAGTCCCCGTTCACACCTCTGCATTCCCTAAACACTCACGCTGACGCGTGTTCGTGCAACGCATCAAACACGTGCAGCGCATTGACATGTTAATGGCACACCAAACAGGGTTAGGAAAAGACATGTTCTTCCTGCGTGTTGTTGTGCATCGAACGCGCAGGAATAAAACGAGGGATACTCACAGATAAAAGTGTTGCATGAGATACTTTCCCGTGTTTGTCACATATACAGTACCCAATCGATGGGCCGCGCGGGAATTGCAGGGAAAAAACAGCTGCAAGTGCGCATTGAAATGGCGCGTGTTCACGGTACGCCGAGGTCTAAACAGGGACTAAAAGGTTTTGTAAGCACACCGATCAAAAGGCAAAATATAATTCTAAAGGTGGCCATACACTTTACAAAGTAATTAAAAAACGTACGATCTCAGATTCTTGGACAGGCAGATCGTACTTGCGATAATCAGCCCTCAGCGGGGCAGGCTTCCGATGACCGCAATGCTGAACGGGCAGTGTGCGCTTGCGCACACTGGCCCGTGCTGCAGTTATCTCACGATCATGCTACAAACCAGCCGAAAATTGTACAATCCTCGGCTGGTTTTCGAACAGTACAGTAGAAACGGTCGCACGCCTTCCATACACTTTGCGATTATCGTACGTTCTCGGGATTTCCCGCGATTTTCGTACGATAATCGTGCAGTGTATGGGCACCTTAAGTGTTGTTACAATGACCTTTGCTGATCTGTAAAACTTCCATCTCCCCCCTTTAGCACTTAAGACCCCGTTCACACTGGGGCGGTACGCCGACATGAACAATCCTATACATTGCTATGGGGACCGTTCATGCGACCGCGCAGGTCCGCATGATCCGAACTGCACCCCACCCGAACTGCTCCCTGCACTATTTTTGCCATGCTGATAAGTGGGGTTTGCATACAGGTTTTAATGGAACCGTGCTGATCAGCGCGGTTTCGGGCGTTTTGAATTGCGTTTCAACGCTGAAACGCAATTAAAAACTCCCAAAACCTCCCTTTTAAGATCAGCACAGTAACCGCGCTGCTCGGCAACCGCCCTGGTGTGAATAGGCTCTAAATAACTACTGATTTGTTTTTAAAAGGAGAACTATGAGGTGAGTGATTTTCACTCAACCTCATAGTTCAAGCCGACGTGTGACAATTAAACTGTCACATGCCGGCTCAATAGATCGGGAAGTGAGCAAACGCATACCGTTGGTCGCTCACTTCTCGATCATGTCCCTGCAGAGAGCCGTGACAGTTACTCACGGCTCACTGCAGGGATTCCCCCCCTCTCCTGTCCAATCCTCCAGCGCTGACTGGCGGAACTGATGGGGAGGGGGCGGGTACAGCTGGCCCTGCCTCTAGATAGGCAGAGCCAGCTGTCACTCACGCAGCTGGGTGGATCTCGACAGTAATGTCATGATCCGTCCCCGGCTGCGGCGGTCTGTAGCTTGCGATATACTGAGCTTTGGATACAGTCCGTGTACCCACCGCACTGAGAACCGCTGCTCCATGAGATAAGAATTGGGTGCAGCAGGTGTCAACATGTGGCTTCCGTCAAAGTATAAGTAAAAGATGGACACCGGCACTCCAAAGCAAATCCAGTACGTCTATTTATTTACGTACTTGTTGCAAATGCAAAACACAAGATACAATGTTTCAGGGTCTCACAGGATTCCCTTCATCAGGCAGACAAGTGATCACTTGTGATGTTGGGGATCTTTTACTTATACTGAGCTTTGGGTGACGGGAGAACGCTAGTTTATGTCCTCCTGTGACCCTTAGGAGAACTATGGGGAAAAACACTTACCCCATAGTTCTCCTTTAACCTGTGTAATTACCCACCATCTTTATTTGTATCAAATTCTCATCATTCCATGCCCACCAGTTAAAATTTCAGTTTAGGTGCTGCAGAAAGAGCAGAACAGGGTTAACTGGCATACAATTTGTAGTTTCTACAGCTCAGGTAGCATCATATTATATGCTCTGTAGTAGGTGTTTGGACTGCAAGAAAAAAAAGGCAGAGTTTAGATATTTCAATATTTTTCATGATTTTGATCACAAAAACAGTTCAACAGATTACGACAACCTACATTACTACCTAACAGTTCCCTTGAACTGTTCTGTTATGGTAATGAGGAAGATAATGTGAACATTCCTGAATTCTGTACAGGTGGCAGCATTGTTTGTGGTCTGTCTACCAGATGTAATTCCACATGAGCTGCAAATTTGTTGCTCTTATTGACATCTGATTAGGAGTAAAGCAGGGTGCTGACTGTTTACTTACATAGTAATCAGCAGCCTTAAGCAAGCAAAGGTCTGCCACACTGCCCGCACCCCACCGGCTGAGCCGGTCCAGAGGAATGAGGACCCAGCCCCTGTTTGCCATCTACGCATGGCATGGCTGAGCCGCTTTTTCGGTGTTAAAATGGAATATTCAAGATTCTGTTCAGCCAGTCTGGTCATTCACATGCCTGGGAACTCTCCGGAAGCGGCCTGGAGATTGTGGCTGACTCTCCAAGACTCCAGAAGTTCCCTCCAGCCGGCATTCCTGGCCAGTGCACTGAAATCAGTTTCACAGTTCCAGCCACACTATGGACTGAGGGAAAGAGCCAGCACTACAGAGGAGGAGGCAGAAGGAGGCGCAGATTATGTCTTGTATTCCTCCAGCACCTCACCCTGACCACTGGAAGTTTATGTGCAGACTGGTCCCCAGTTATTGTCCATGCAATTTATTGCTTATGTATTAGCGCCGTTGCTTATTTGCTGCCCGAGAATTGGCACAACTGCCAGTTTGTTGTCTACAAATCATCATGCTTGAATATTTTCTGCCCATGTATTGCCAATCATTGCTCATTTGTTGCCCACATAATGTAATAGCCCCTTTGTTGCCCAATATGTATTTTCACCATTTCCCATTAGTCCTGGGTGCCATAGTTGCCAAACTACACCATGGCATTGGCTTACACTTCCACACCACATATAGTTATAATTGCCAGCATGGCTGTTTATTGCCACGTGTGCCCAGGTATTACTAGTGTTCAGTGTTGTAGTGTCATCTGTTGCCATCTCAGTGCTGCTTGTTTGAGGACTGTATTACTGTAATTAAATCCCCAGCAGGCCTGTTACTAACAAGCCACACACTTAAAAGCTTCAATATTTTGCCTATGCCCCTAATTTGCTATTACACCCTTCCAGTAGAATGTCTGACACATAAGGTTAAACCTGTAGTGAGAGAAATATGGGGAAAGTAATTGCTGATCTTCTGAAAAGCATTTGTGTCAGCAACCAGCATTTTGAAGAGCTATGGCACCCACCACATATTTCTGTTAGAATAGGTTTCCCTAAGAATAGAGGGTGACATTGCCTAGTTTTATAAACAAACAGAATTACTGGAAACTTTCCTACAAAAATAATTGTCAACAAAAATATTTGGGGGTTTAATAAAGAGGCCCTGTGGTCTCTAAAACCCGATCTTCAGCCCTGCGGGCACAGGAGTCATGTTGTTGCATCAGCCAGCTACATCCAGCTACATCCTATAAAACACTGAACCTATTGCTTACACTTGTTATTCTTTGGCTGTAAATTTTTACCTTTAACCAGTTTAGCTGTGACTCACGTGTGGTTAGAAGAGGCAGAAGTGGAACCCACAAAACGTTGCTATGGAGGCAGTAACACTGTAAACAATAACAAAAAACTTTAAAAAAATAACCTCTCTTAACCTAGTATATGTGAACCCAATAACTAAAATCTCATATAAGCTTTACCCTGTTAATGACATTTTTAAAGTAATTTCAATTATTTTTTAAATCTGCAGCTTTCATTAGCATAATACCTGGTGATCCTGCCATAAAGTTCCTTGTTCAGGTAATTCCCATTGTAGAGTGACAACACTTTGTCCATCTCTCTCATTTGTGCTCCTGCATTGTCACGATTTCACATGGGTTTCCGATGAAAACTCCAAAGGGCTGTTTCAACAAAAATTATAACGGTCCGCTGTTGTTACCATCAGAAAATCCACCCTGACAAATGGCTGCCACGCAGTCATCACTGGAGTGCATTTAGACAGGAAGTGGCTTCAATGAAGCTGTAGGAGATGGCAGCACTGAGATGTAATAAAGAAAGGTGGAAACTAATCTAAATGTAATGCAGTTATGGTTTATATATATTCAAGATTTAGTGGTTGCAAAGTTTTATGGTATTAAAACAACTTTCTTTCCTCACAGTGTAAAGTTACCCATCAGCAAATAGGTCATGGCATTAAACCAGAAGTTTGCCGGACTGCGTCTGCAAAAGCAAGGTATGAAGAATCCGCCAATATTTTTTTCTCATTTGACATGTAAAAGGACCCTATAGTAGTTTAAATTTGTATTTATTATATGAACATGGGGCAGCCATATTTGAAATTATATATGCAGACTCTGCTTCCTTCTGTGCAATGCTACATCGTGATTGTGCTTCTTCCCACAATGCAAGTGTATGAGTTAGACGGGGTGATAGATAGATAGATAGATAGATAGATAGATAGATAGATAGATAGATAGATAGTCCAGGGTTACAGGGCAGCAATCCGGGCACAGCAAAGGGTAAACGGCAATAAGGTACAGCTAGGATGGGGTACTCACGCTGAGGGCGTCTGGTCACTTTGCAGCAAGAGAGGGGTCCTCACAGGATAGTAAGCCAGGATGTGGTCCGTGAGTTGATCTCTGGAGCCTCTTCAGCAGCCAAACAGGATTCTGAAGGAAGGAGCTATCTCGGGGGGCCTGTGTGACCTGGCTGCAGTTGAGGCACACCAGGCAGATAGGTTAGCAGGGCAAAGGGAAAACTAGAGCGAGCCCCAGCTCAGGCATTTAACCCCTGAGTGGGAGCCTGAGACCAGGCAACCCAATGCTTAGCATTTGGTTGCCACGGCAACAAGCTCCCTTCCTTTCCTTGGCCGCAGCTTAGATTGCACCCTTTGTTCCTGGTGGAGGAGAGCAGTTCAGAGAGCAGGGCTGCGGGCAGGGCGGCACCCACAGAGCTTACAGGCTGGCCTGCATGTGTTAAATTCATGCCAAAGTGTTAGTGACAGGCCTGGTATGCCCGATGGCCACTCCAAGCCAGGGTAGATAGATAGATAGATAGATAGATAGATAGATAGATAGATAGATAGATAGATAGATAGATAGATAGATAGATAGATAGATAGATAGATTCGCACACTGTCTGACCTAACAAAGGTTTAAAGACCTTAAAGCATTTGTGGGTTGTATGTTAATGTACTTTCCCTGAGTTTGCCCCTCTAATTACACTTCAGAATTGTACAGAGTAGAGTGCAGTCCTGTATATAAACCTGTTCCAAAAAAGTCTAGAAAGATCTATCCTAGAAAGATAAATATTTTGTAAAACTTCAGCTGAACCGGGGCCTCTGCAATTCAGCGCAGAAGTGGGCTGACCACCTACTGTCCATCAGAGGCCTACAGCACAGCAAAATGGGCCTGGGGGAAAACATATACTACAAGAGTTCTTCCTAGTCCTAGTCCTAAGTCCAAATGTAAAATGTCCCTGGCCATTTAATTATTTTTGCACCAGCAAACTAGGAATGTGCAACTGTGTGTGTTCCTAGTGCTCAGACTCTCTGTCAATCAGAACAATTCGTCTTAGAGTTATTTTCAGGTTAAAAGATGCATATCAACATTGCTGAATGTGGTCTTGGTGTCTAAGCTTCAAACAAAATCTGGTCAAGTAAGGGTTAAAGGCACACTCCAGTTAAACCTGAAAATGAAGCTTTGAAATGCAGCCAACATGCTCAGTAATGCAGTTTTGCATCCAGACACTGCTGTGGTGCACACATTTATCCCACTCCCTTTAGTAAGTAATCTAGTGATCTGGAAACCTCTGATCATAATTCAGGAGAAGAATTTCCAGACACATTCACTGCGGGTTCCTCACCGTCTCTCACTAGATTTAAAAAATGTGACTACCTGAAAGCTCCTTGAAACCATTAATCAGATTTTCTGCCATGGAAGTATGAATGTGAACCACAGCAAGCAGAGAAAGAGGAAATTATACATTCTGGCTCTACTTTGATTTTCCTGATCTGCTTACTTGTTCCAGAAAGTGGGAAAGCATTCAAGGTTCAACAAAACAGCCAGGTGACTAGCATTGTCAGAAGGATGGTAGCTATGACAGCCCTCATATTTCTTTTATGAAAGGTTCAGGTTAAATATGATTTCAATAAACTGATTCTTTATGTCCATTAGGAATTGACTCAAAAAAGTTTGAAGAAGGTTTCCTGGGGGCCCACAATAAATATCGGAAGTGGCATGGATCACCGCCTCTTCAGCTGAACCGGGGCCTCTGCAATTCAGCGCAGAAGTGGGCTGACCACCTACTGTCCATCAGAGGCCTACAGCACAGCAAATCGGGCCTGGGGGAAAACATATACTACAAGAGTTCTTCCAACCCCCGGGATCTGCCAGGTACGTCATCAGCACTACCCTGCCTTCCATCGGACTGCAGAGACATTGTCACTGTGGATAATATGGTGTCAGCACAACACATATCCACATGGTATGCCATTGGTACTACCCTGATTTCCATCAGACTACAGAGACAATGTCACTGAGGGTAACGCGGTGTCACACACAACCCACATCCACATGGTACACCATCAACACTAGTCTGCCTTTCATCAGAGTACATAGACAATGCCACTGAGGGTAACATGGTGTCACACACAACCCACTTCCACATGGTACACCATCAACACTACCCTGCCTTCCATCAGACCGAAGAGACAATGTCACTGAGGGTAACGTGGTATCACACACAACCCACTTCCACATGGTACACCATCAACACTACCCTGCCTTCCATCAGACTGAAGAGACAATGCCACTGAGGGTAACATGGTGTCACACGCAACCCACTTCCACATGGTACACCATCAGCACTACCCTGCCTTCCATCAGACCGCAGAGACAATGTCACCGAGGGTAACGTGGTATCACACACAACCCACTTCCACATGGTACACCATCAACACTACCCTGCCTTCCATCAGACTGCAGAGACAATGGCACTGCGGGTAATGTTTTTTCACACACAACCCACTTCTACATGATATGCCACTGGCGCTACATTGCCTTCCATAGGACTTCAGAAGCAATATCACTGCGAGTCCACAACCACATGGTGACGAAGGTTAAAGTGTTGCATGGCATTATTACTGGGTGGTGTCAGGATAAGAGGAGACCTATACTGACAACAAGCCATGGGCAGTCATTGCTGACCTTCTAAAAACGCTGTCTGCCTGGCTGCCTATCTATTCTGTATTTCCAGAGACACGAACATGGAACAAGCGTGCAGATTAGACAGTTGGAATGGCAACAGACTGCTAACTTGTTCCGAGTCAGTGACTCAAAGTTCTGAAGCCACTGGATGAGAATGACAGCCAGGCAGAGGAAACAGCAGTGGAAACCACTATACTTCTTCATGGCAGGTTCCCTTTAATCAGAGGAAGGGTGTCCAAAGTCATCTTCATCATTCACAGATTTGGAAAATACAGTATATGGTGTCCAATTTTCTATGGAGAAACCTTCTTCAACATTCTACATTATATGCCATACAGAAATGCCACTGCAGACAAGGAAGTCCCATTTAGCAGTGACGTCATCCCCGTCCACTTTTCTTCCATGTCTTGAGACATGGGAAGGAAGTGGTATTATACGTATCCACTAATATGTATGGTGCAATACGCTGTTACCAGCATCACACAGATAAAGCACGTAGTGCTTTCCCCCCTTGGATCCAACCACTTGTGCCAATTATCAACTATTTCCCATAAACACAGTCACTTCTAGTACTATAGGGCCATAGACATCACACTAACACACCTGTACTGTATACAAAGTATCTAGTTATTGCAATAAGAAAGACAGAAAGCAAAGTCTACAGCAACATATCTTTCATCAGAGAATCTTCTTCATACAGGTAAAGATATTGGACCAAATAAACTAAACATGGCACAGAGACCTGCACTGTACCATGTATATTTGTGTGCACAGTGCCCCTATTAGACGCATAGTGCACAGTGACAGCGCACGCTCGGCACCCTGTCACTGTTCAAGGAAAAATACAGTGAGCTATAGCAGCTTACTGTATTGCTTCTCCTTTCTCCCTGGTGATCACTTCCTGAGAGACATGCATGCAGCAGAGCAGCAGAGGGAACCTGCTGGCGGCCTCCTCTATACAGACACTTACTGTCAGTCAGCCCCATGTCCAGATCTGCATCTGGTCAAAACTCTGGTCAAGAATAGCTATTGAGATATAAAGTATTAGGGATGTCCCGATACCACTTTTTCAAGACCAAGTACAAGTACTTCCCCTCATGTACTTGCCGATACCAATTACCGATACTTTTTCTTAAAGGGCCAGGTGACTTTAAATGATCCATAGTACAACTACATGTTATGTACTATGGATCATGATTTCACCTATTCATGTTAGCAGGGGAGAACTGTAAATCTATTGCTGTAGTGTAGTGGAGGTGTGTGCTGTATATATGTACTACATATACAGTACACACCTCCACTACACTATAGCAATAGATTTACAGCCAGCCCTGTCCCAGCTTCCCTCACTCAGTTTCACTCCGATCCCTGTTGCCTCACGCGGTGTCTCTTGTAGTTGGCGCTGGGCAGCATCGCTGTATCGCGTCTTGGTGCTCAGCTTGTGGGAAGTGCTCACAATTTTCAGCCACCTACATTAGGACCCCACCTGGAGCGCCGCCCACAGCAGTGACGCGATGCTCCTCCGCTCGACGTCCTCACATGAGGAAAAGCATTCGGCACCTCGTGAGACACCACTGAAGGTACAGAGAATAGCAATAGAGTTTTTCAATTATCCCTGCTAACATGAATAGGTTAAATCATGATCCATAGTACAACTACAAATACAATGCGCCTCCCATTTCAGCACAGGTCTAATGGAGGTACCTCACGAGGTCCTAAATTCTTTTCCTCACATGTGAGGACGTCGTTGGCGCTGAGCGGAGGAGCGTCGAGTCACTGCTATGGGCGGCGCTCCAGGTGGGGTCCTCTGGGCAGTTGCCAGCCACCTACATTAGGACCCCACCTGGAGCGCCGCCCACAGCAGTGACGTGACGCTCCTCCGCTCAGCACTGACAACGTCCTCACGTGAGGAAAAGCATTCGGCACCACGGAAGGTACAGAAAGAAAAAAACATTATTAAAAAAAGCTGTAAAGTAACAGCTTTTTTTCTTTTTCCCTTTTAAAATACTTTTAAAAAGAGAACTAAGCCAAACCATTTTTTTTTTTGGTTTTAGTTCCCTTTTGGTCCAAAGGAGAACATTTACTAATGCCCTCCTGTGACCTAAGTCAATATCTAGTAGACTACTGCCCACTATATTCTGACAGCGCAGAACCGCGCTGCAGCCAGGAAAGATCCCTACAGTATTGTCGAGATCCACCACGCTGCCTGAATGACAGCTGGCTCTGCCTCTCTAGAACCAGAGCCAGCTGTGCCCACCCCCTCCCCTGTCTGTCCCTCAAATGAGCAGTGGAGGAACAGAGAGGGGAGGTAGGAATCCCTGCAGGGAGCAGTGACTGACAGTCACTACTCTCTGCAGAGAGAAGCCTTGAGCTGAGCGATCAGCGATTCGTGATTGCTCAGTTCTTCATCTATAGAGCCGACATGTGACAGCTGCAGTGTCCCTAGCTGGCTCTAAGTATTGGGAAGAGTACATTGAGGAATATTTCCATTCACGCCCTGTCCAAAAGACAGGAAACAAGCAATACAAATGCCTTTCTAGCAGAGTGGGGAAGATGTAGAATCCTGATCAGATTGTTACTGCTGTCCACGAGTCTGATGAGGACATTCCCCTCGCTTTCAATGTAGTCACCAGGACAGGAAGTGAGGGAATCATCCTTAACTGAAACACAGACAGGAACAAAAACTTGACATGTTCTAACCATCCCACACTCCATTCAAAATTAGAAAATAGAGTTTGGCCTGGCGATCTGGTTTTACATCATTGCAGCTCACAGTTGGGTTGGCGAGGGACCGATGTCATATTGCCCATCATTCTCCATTGTAGCATGAGGCACTTTTTTTATATTATCAAATACCATTGAGTCTTTTTATTGTGTTTAGGTAATGAAGCAGTTGACAGCTGGTACAAAGAGATCGAGGACTACAACTTCAGCAGACCTGGCTTCTCCAGCAACACAGGTGAGGAAAGTTCACAGCATGCTCACATATATGTGCATTAAAGAGGAAGGAAGCAAGGAAGGAGGGAGGGATAAATGGAAGGAAAGAAGATGGGTAGGAAGGAAGAAATAGTTGGATTCATTATGTGGCATGTGGTGTCAAATGTTGCTAAAAAAGGTTGGCTGCCCATTATAATGAACGGGCTGCCTTAACCCCGTAGTGTTACCGGGCCTGTTTAAACAAACTCACCAGTGGCTAAAGACGCCAGGACTCTGTTTACATTTGTAAAGCCAACTGTCGGCTTTACAATAGAAGCGATTCTGGCAACTCAGCTGTCGCCAGATCGCTTTTCCGGGCCACCCCCGTCCAACACCCCCGTTGTGTTTCCCGGGCTCCGCTGCCCCTCCTACGGGCCCGGCGTCTTGGATGTTGGTGGGGAGCTGGGGAGGAGATCTGCAAACCTCCGTTCACTGATTTCCTCCCCGTTCTATGGGAGTGAGAGCGACATATTGCATCACTTCCGGTCCCATCGCTGTCATTGCTGTGCTCCTGAAGCTCCGCAATAAGCTATTGAAGTGTGATCTGCACTTCAATAGCTTATTTAGAGTGTAAAGGTCATACTAGGGGTCTTTGGAACCCCAGTATCACCTTAAAGAGTACCTATCACCACCAATCTGCTATCACATGGGGGGCTTGTAAGCCACCCTATGTGGTAGCAATTAAATTAAAGTTAAAAAAACAAAAAACTGTTTTTAAAAATAATAATAAAATAAATCTAAAAGTAATGACATTTTTTTTAAAGTCCCATGCTCCCGCGAGCACACGTGTCATAGCGTAAACACGCGACTACGTAGGAAAACGATGATCACGCTACACCACAGTAAGAGCAATAACTCTAGCACCAATATGTATGCGCATCTCAAAACTGAGGACCTGTAGGAGCTTTTAACCACTCGCTGGCCAACCCCCTTCCTGGCCAGGCCATTTTTCACTATTCAGCGCTGCGGGACTTTGATACCATTTTTGGGGGACAGATAGAGCTTTCTTTTGGTGGTATGTAATTACTACTGAGATTTTAATTTTTTACTATATTAATAAAAGAAATTACTGAAAATTTTTGAAAAAATAGGGTTTTTGACATTGTGTTATAATACAATAATTAACCCAATTTGTTTGGTAAAATATAAAAGACGGGGTCACGTCGGGTAAAAAGATACCAAACATGTCAAGCTTTAAAATTGCGTGCACCCACGAAATCGCAAACAAATATCATACTCAAAATTGACCAGAGGGGATGCTTTAAAAGCTTTTACCGCTCATCAGTTTAGTGCTATCAGTGATTGATGGCCCTAGAATTATTGCTCTCACTCTGACGTTTGCGGCAATATGTAACATGTGCGGCATAATGGGCGCAATCGCTGTTTTCGCACGTATGCGCCCCCGATGCATGTTTGTACATGTGTATGTATGGGTGGGGACTTTGAAAAAAAAATTGTGTTTTTTTTTTTACTTCTTTTTTATGTGTGACTTAAATTTTTTTTTTTTTGCAACTTTAATTGTTTTCCTATTTTTTTTTTCCACTTAACTTTTTTGTTATTACATAGGGGGCTAAGAAACACACCTATGTTATAGCAAAGAGGATGTGACAGGTCCTCTTTATGGAGACATCAGGGCTCTCCAAGACCCCTAATGTCACCTAGGAACCCCCAAAGAAGCTGATGAAGCAGCGATCTTCTTTACCAGCTTCTATAACAGCTACAGAAGCTGGAGAGTGACACAAGAATGCAGAAGTGATGTAATATACATCACTTCCGCATTCTGACACCAGAGAGGGGACCGGAAGGAGTTCGTGTACCGACCTCCCTCTGATCCCGTCACAGAGCCCCCATGCTGGTCCCGGGCTCGCATCGGGCACAGCGGACCTCGGGACCAGCGAGAGGGGGGGCTGCGGAGGGGGCGCACACACCAAGACGTTATACAAACGATCCACCTGCTCTATAGCCGGATGGATCGCTTGTATGTAAACAGGCATCGCAGCCTGTTTTTAAATCTGGGCAGCTTCCCGTTCGCGCGCGCGAGTGGGAGGAGCTAACAGTCTTTTCCTGCTACATGCAGGAAGCTCCCGGCCGGCTGTTTTTTTCACCACGACCAGCCGGGAGGTGGTTAAAGCGTTGTCTAAGGGCTTTTTTGGGGTACTGAGTTTTGTCGCCGTTACACAGATGCACACAATTTTTAGCCTGGGCATGTTGGGTATCTATATACTCATTGTAACCTCATCTTTTTTATTCTATTAAAAATATGTGTATTTTATTGTGTTTTGGGGCACTAAATTTAACTTAAGTACATTTTCCACTCAACATTTGAGTTTGATAATACGTTGCGCTAATATCGTGCAACATAAAAATTTGCAACTGCCACCATTATATTCTATAGGGTCTTGGCTTTCAGAAAATATATAATGTTTGGGGGTTTAAAGTAATTTTCTGGCCTAAAACGTGGATTATAACATGGGTGCAAACAAACGATAAAAGGCCTCAGTCATTAAGGGGTTAATGCAAGGCACCTCAAATGGGAAGTAATGTGCGTTAACGCATGGTAATGGATCACCAAAGTGTAAATCAGTTCTCAACAAATTCCCTCACTGCTCTGGATGTGAATAGTTGTTTTAAATGTTAGCATACAACAGTGACATCTAGTGATCCAAAATCAGACTGTTTATAAATGAAAGCATTACATTACTGAGAGGATACACAAGCTGTCATTGATGACCTTTCCTTCTGACTATAGACTATGGAGGAAAGTGAATCCCACAAAAGTCAGCTCCTGTGCAATGGGCTAACATGAAACCTGTTCATTCTGAGTTTAGCATTTTTCAAGGTATACATACAATAATGTGCCGAGCTGAAGAAACAATCAAATATAAACAGTGAAAAATACAACAATGATTATAGGCTGAACTCAAACCACATAACATACACAGTGAGATAAAGTCCAAAAAAACAAACCCGATGTGGTGTAGATAACGAATCCAAACAATGTGATGCAATGTGTACAAACAACATGAGCAGTCCTCTGAGGGAGACTTTATAGTGTGCAGGACAACAGACTCTTTGATAATCCTTCACCTCCACCAAGTGAATGCACAAATGACAAAGGAGTGCTCACTAAGGATGGGCTCGGGCGTGTTCGCAGCTCCACGTGCCAAGCACCGCCAGGAAGCTGACAGCGCACAGCGCCATTCACAGGTACTAAGACATTTTCCCGGTCCGCGGCTGTAGAGATCGGGAAATGTCTCAGTACCTGTGATTGGAACTGACAGTACTGCGCGCTGTCAGCTTCCTGGCCCGAGCCCATCCATAGTGCTCACCTGGGTCTGTGGACCCACAGAGTAGGTCTCAAGCGCGTTTTCCCTTCTTAGGGGGGGAGGGGGGGGCCATAGTATCAGAGTAAAATAGATCCTTTCAGGTCGTAGATACGCTCATCAGATTGAGAAGAAACAAAGCAGAAGACACATAGTGCGTACCATCCAAAAATATAAAATGTATTAGATAAAAACAAGTACTCACACAATGGCAAGAGAAAACCAGCATATAAGATTCCCACAGGGGATTCCTTCAATGTACTAGAGTACATCAAATGTAATTCATCTCCCGTCCGTCCGGCTTCACTGAAGTGATGACGTCAGATGCTCCGCCCTACATACGTTACGTCCAGCGCGACTTCGTCAGGGGTCTGGAGCATCAGACGTATCAAATTTATACACACCAAGGGACTTCAGCCTATAATCATTGTTGTATTTTTCACTGTTTATATTTGATTGTTTCTTCAGCTCGGCACATTATTGCATGTATATTTTGTATTATTTCAGATATCATTTTAGTGCTTAGGAGCTCTTTTTCACTTTTTTTGCATCATCACTGGCGCAGATCTTTTTTGTTTTATCTATTCCTCCAAGGTAGCTGAACTAAATGCATGGCATGTTGAGTAGGGGGGAAAATATTACAAAAACACTTTGTACTGCACACTTGCTGTTCACTCCTGACTCTCTGGTGATTATACAAACGTGTTACATGTCGAAAGTTAAAGTGACATCAAACCCTCAGATATTGTAACATAAAAAAATGCTGTAATGTGCGCCTTACTGTGATCCATGGTAGTTTCCCTTCTCTTTGCTGCTCTTCCTTTTAAATCGTATCTCTTCTCATGCTGGGGAGAACTTCCATTTTGCAGCTGACTGCCTCTTCTCTGGAATGTTACATGGTGTCTGTGTGCGCGCTCCAGACCTGAGCCAGGATGCAGGCAGCAGCTGTTGCCAATCTAAGGTGGGCGGGGATGTGGATGTCTGGAGGACGTCATCCTGTAGTCCTGGCTCAGGTCGGGAGCACGCACACAGACACCATGTATCCATTCCAGAGAAGAAGCAGTCAGCTGCAAAACGGAAGTTCTCCCCAGTATGAGAAGAGATGAGGATTTAAAAGAAAGAGCAGCAAAGAAAAGGGAAACAACCATGGATTACAGTAAGGCACACATTACAGCATTGTTTTATTTTAGAAATCTGAGGGTTTAATGTCACTTTAAACTTATTTATTCAGCCAGTCAGAACTTTTGAATGCAAAATAATAGCTTGAATTTTCTCTGATAATAAACATAAAAATATCTTTCTTTAGGCCACTTCACTCAGGTTGTGTGGAAAGACTCGAAGGAGGTTGGCTATGGGGTGGCCACAGATGGCAAGAAGGTCTACTTCATTGTGGCCCAGTACAGCCCGGCAGGGAACATTACCAATCCGGGCTATTTTGAGAAAAACGTTCTGCCCTCTGGAACAGCGTCGGCAGCAGACAGCACGGCATCTGAAAAGGAACCTGCAGCAAAGAAGAACTCCAACAACCGGAATACACAATCTTGTACAGGTGGGAGAGGCCGGACCTAAGTAATAACAAAGTTTATAATTGCATATGATGGAGTGATCGCATAATAATAATAATAATAATAATAAGTATTTGTTAGACAGTAATTGTTTTCTTGACTTTGCTAAGTTCTTTAACCACTTGGCGTCCGCCCGTTGTAAAAAACGGACGGACGGCACTGCTGCATTGGCGGGTTGCCGTCTCCGGACGGCAATTTTTTCTGCTCGCGCGCGCCCCCTAGCAGGCACGCACGGGCAGAAAAGACCCGACCAATGCAAACACCCTTAACCGGTTAGCCGCCGATCGTCTATATGTGCTCGTTTTTCCACCCCACCGCCCTGACACCTCACCTGCAATCCCAGGATCCGCTGCCCCATATGCAGCCCGGGACCGGCTCGGAGGGCGTCAGGAGGAAGAGGGAGAGAGATCAGCTCCTTGCTGATCTCCCTCCGGGCTGTGAATGCAGAAGTGATGTGTATTACATCACTTCCGCATTCACCTGTCAGTCATCTGGCTGCTATAGCCAGAGAGAAGAAGCTGATAAAGCAGATCTCTGCTTCATCAGCTTCTTTTGGGGTCCACAGGTGACATTAGGGGTCCTAGAGACCCCTAATGTCTCCATAAAGAGGACCTGTCAGTGTGCCTTTGCTATTATATAGGGGGATTGTTATCCCCCTATATAATAGCAATAACAATAAGTGCAAAAAAAATATATAAATAAAAAAAAAGAAAAGTAACACATAAAAAAATAAAATAAAATAAAAGCCACATATAAAAAAAGGGGAAAAAACCCCCCCAAAATGTTTAACTCCCCCACCCCCACGTTTACGCGCCTATAAACGTAAATACGCGTCCGGTGCCCCAGCGCGCAAAAATTACAATTGCGCTACACATGTTACATATCGCCGCGAACGTCGCAGTGAGAGCAATCATTTTAGGGCCATCAATCACTGATAACACTAAACTGATGAGCGGTAACAGCTTTTAAAGCGTCGCCTATGGCCAATTTTGGGTATTATCGTTTTTTGAGGTTTCGCGCGCGCACGCAATTTTAAGGCTTGACATGTTTAGTGTCTTTTTACCCGACGTGACCCCATCTTTTATATTTTACCAAAAAATTGGGTAATAATAAATGTTTTATCATTTAATATAGGGAAAACTGTTTCTTTAAAAAAAAATTCGGTCATTTTTCCATAATATAGTAAAAAATAAAAACCCCAGTGGTGAATAAATACCACCAAAAGAAAGCTCTATCTGTCCCCAAAAAAGGGTATAAAATTAATTTCAGTACAGCGCTGCATGACGGAATAAATGTCAGTCAAAGTACCGCAGCGCTGAATACTGAAAAATGGCCTGGATGGGAAGGGGGTTTAACACCGCGGATGTCAACTGGTTAAGATAATGAGCACTTTTCCCCACTCTTGGTGCACACCAGGAACTGAAACCCTAAAATGTGAAAGTAAACTATCTGTGTTGATGTCAAACATCCAATGATCTTCCTGAACATTTTTAAAAGTCTTTCACTTTGTCCATTTAAGGGCAAAGTGGCATGTTCTCTTAGGAGCTCATACCCCCACCTGCTGATACTTACTTTTGCTGCGCTTCCCCCATCACTCACAATAAAATGTTGTGATTCAAGATAAGGAAGCACGTGACCTTCTTCCCCTCCTCCCAGGATGCAATGCTCAGGCCTGAGCAGCCGATTGCTGGGCCAAAATGCTGTCATGTGGAGGAGGCGAGCAGGTCATTAACCATGTGTAAGCTCTGACATTGTGCAATATGTTTCTTATATGAGGTTTAGATCCACAGCTCTTAATGGACGGGCAGGGGAGTTCGGTAAATATATTAATTGTTGGCTTTCAAGAGGACCTGTCACTTTCTCTTCCTTTTAAAACTGTCTTTAGCTCAAAATATAATATGACTTACCTTGCCTCTATGCAGCTCCTTTGGCAAACCTACCACTGAGGCCCCTATATATTTACCTGGTGGCAGGACCGGACTCCCTGCATACACCAGCCACTGATACCCAAGGTCTAAGCTGTGACTGGGGGCAGGAACTGTATGAAGCTGATTAGCTTCTCTAGGCAACCAGTCAGCACCTCTGCCTAACACAAGTTTCATCTCCAGCCACAGTTTAAACTTGACAAGTGACTGGTGCATGGAGGGAGCTTGGTCCAGCCAACAGGTAAATATTCAGGATCCTTATTGGTACCTAGCATTGGGAGCTCCAACAAGGGAGGGTGGCAAAATTATATTATATTGTGGGCAATAGACAAAAGTGGTGTAATCATCAGCCATCGTGTAACCAGTGGTGTAACTATCAACAATGTGTAAGTTACACCAGAGACAGAAGAGAATTACCAACTAGACCATTGCCAACTAGAGCATGTCACATTTATGCATTGTGTAGCTCATACCTTGTGCATATACTATAAGTACTTCATACAAAATTTTGCTATGGGGCCCTGTGATTTCTAGTTACGCCCCTGTTTGCAGGAGCTATCTTAGTTGATTTACACAACATACTTCTTATAGAAAATCTTTTGTTTTATTTTACAGAAACTCAATCAACAATATATAACATGACTTCTGTCTATATGCACCAAATCCACCCACATATGTATATTTGGTACATATAAACAAAAGAATCTAAACAATAATGTTTTGTGATATTGATTTTTTTTAGAGTTGCTGTATAATAAAACAAAAGATTTTCTATAAGGAGTATGTTGTGTGAATCTATTAAGATAGCACCAGAAAAGTCCCAATAGTTTATGCACATGGTATGATCTTAGGAAGTTAGGGATGTGGGGCAATAGAAGTTATAGTAGTCAAGACATGTATGGAATGTGCATTATGTAGCTGTGTAGATAAAATTCCACTTTACTGTGAAAATTCAGTTCAGACCAGTGGTGTCACAAGGGGGGGTGCGGGATGTGCGGCCCGCACACTGGTGACACCAAAATGACTGACAGTCATTTTGGTGTCACCCCCTATGAAAAGCCGGGCACTCGGTCACGGACCAAGAACCCAACAGTGTCAGGAGAGAGGAGGGGACCGGCGGCGTACATCTTCCTACCAGGTGAAGGTCTCCTCCTCTCTCTGCCGGCGTCCATCACCAAGATGGCCGCTGGGAAGCGTCAACAAGACGCCCGCACTTGCGCGATGGCGTCATTGTGCATGCGCTCGGCAACATTACGCGTGTGTGCGATGACGTCACGGCGGGGTGTCACCCGGACTCCGCTCCGGGTGACACCCAGCCTCGGGACCCCCCTGGTCCAGACAAACAGTCGGGTGCTAAACAGGGGTGCTAAACAGGAGACACACTCAGTGGAGGGGGTGCTGGTGGAGAGTGACACCGCCACCAAGGCATGCAGGAGTGATGCCACCGCTCTGGCCGGTGTCCCGCCCAGCTCCTGGCAACCAGTGTGTCTCTGCTTGCCAGGAGTGATGTCACTGTTTGCCAGGAGCTGGGCGGGACACCAGCCAGAGCGCCCCATGTTGCTAAGAGCTGGGCAGGGAGATCTATATGAGCATTACAAATCTCCCCGCCCAGGCCTTTGCAACCTGGGACACTCTGGCCAGAAAGGAGTCGGCAGGCACACTGCAAACATTGCGGCCATGCTGCTCTGCCTGCTCCTCCCCCATGTGACTCTAAGAGATACCTTAGGCTGCCGCATTGTAGGGACAGTCTTGGTGCTAAAAAACTTTAGTGATGTAGCTGTGGGCCAGGGCAAAGGCACAGCTGGACTGAACATTTTGATTTTTAAGATAGATGTAAAAGTTTGGAGCTAACAAACATTTTTTAGCCAGTTGTACAAGAAAGATGTCATCTGCTGCTTGTCTCCCTGAACGCCTCTAAATATAACAT